AAAAAAAAAAAAAAAAAAACATTAAAAAAAAAAAAAAGAAGAAGGTGTGATGTGGTCTCCCAGCAACCTTCCCTGTGCTCGAAGGTCTATGTGGTTGGGGGCTGCGGTGCGGGGGTCACAGCGAAGGAGCGGGTGTTCAGGGGAACCTTCCTCTAAATCCCTGGTCAGACACTGTGGGGCTCTGGTGAGAATCACAGCCTCCTGGAGACACGGGGGGCCGGGATGGACGGTGGTAAGTGCGGCCTCCGGGCTCCCTCATGAGGGCAGCAGGCACAGAGGGGACCCGGGGCACTCTGCGAGCAGGCGACAGATCCCAGCAGAAGGGAAAGCCCTTTACAAACAGGCCAAGTGCCAGGGGTCACTGTCCAAGGTGAGGAAAGGCAGAACTGGGATTGCTTTCAGTGCAGCCTGGGGCGGAAGTCTTCCCCTGGGCTCTTCGCGGTCCTGCCCTGGGCAGGCCACCAATCCCCAGTGAGCCCCAGCTCCGCCCTGTGTCCACTGGAGCTATCGTTCCGACTCCCGTGAGACTAAGGGGGAGGGTAGTGTAAATATTGTGCACATGTTAATTCCTTGGAATTTCTTAACATCAACTACAAAAAACGGGGTGGGAGGGTACGGCTGCATCACATCCAAAAGGGCTGGGCGAGATTCTGCAGAAAGCGCTCACTTGTCCAAACAGAAATTGCTGTGGCCAAGGTGGGGCCCGGGGCGGGGTTCGCACCAGCCAGGACCCTGGCTGCCGCTGCCCTCCCCCGCTTACAGAGGAGGAGCCCCAGGGGGAGGGCAAGTGCCACACAGATTCTCAGTGGGCTGCGGGGGGCTCGGCCTGACCCAGGGGCTGCCCCCTCCGGCGGGCGCGCTCCCCAGTGCAAGCGGGACCCCCCGCGTCCCCGCAGCCCTGCCGGGGTCCGGCGGGCACCGAGGGCCGCCCTGGGACCCGCCGAGCCCGGCCGCCGGCCGCGGGGGAAGGGCCATGACGGGGCATGTCGGGACCGGCGCTCCGGGGCGCGGGGAGGGGTGCCTTGGGCCACCCGCGACGCCCCGCGATTCCCAGGGCGCCGGGGCTGCGGCCGAGGGGGCGCGCACCCTTCGAGGAAGACCCAACCCAAGCCCGGGCGGGGGTCGCCGTGGGCGTCGTGGAGAGGGCGGGACCTCGACCCTCTACCTTCTGGGGAACTTATGGGGGGCGCTGGGAGCAGTCGCCCGGACGGGGAAACTGAGGCTCGAGGAGGGCGGCGTCTCCTGGCTCTCTTACCAGCCCCCCGCGCGGCCGTCCCCCGCCCCGAAGTACTCACCCGCCCGCGAGTGGGCTGCACGCGGCGCCGCGACGCCTTCGGGCCTCCCCGCCCGCCGCAAAGTTGCTCGCGAGGAGCTGGACGCCCAGGGCCGGAGCGAGGCAGCCGGGCCGCAGCGAGCGACTGCGACTGCTAGGAGAGCAGGCGAGAGGGGCCCTCCGCCGGAGGGGGCGGGGCCGGGGGCGGGGCCGGGGGCGGGGCCGGGGCGGGGCCGCAGGCCGCGTTCCACTCCCGACGCATCTCGGAAGACGCGGCTCCTGCTCGGTCCTCTGTGCGGCCGGCACGCCTGCCAATCACCGCGCTCCTCCGCCAGTCACGGCGCGCCTCGCCTGGCTGCCGCCGACCGCCCCCTGGCGCCGCGCGGCCTGAGCGCGCCGGGGGGCGGGTCCGACACGCCCACAGAGAAAGTTTCCAAGCGGAGTCGCGCCGGCCCCGCCCCACCCCGCGTGGCCCCGCCCCCTCCCTGCCGCCCTCGGCCGGGTCCCTCCCGCAAGGTGTTCAGCTGCGGAGCGAGGTCCCTTCCCTTTATCTGTAACAGGTAGGTGGTTGGACCCTTGAACAAGACTCGGGACACCTTTCACCCACCACTCTGGCCCCAGCTGCATTATCATTGCTACTGCAATACTAATTAACAGTGGAGTGTCTGCTATGAGCCAGAGGCCTTCATTCCGGTCCTGCCAGAGATAGAGAGGGCTCCCCAGGTACAGCAGTAGGGACAGAAAATATGGTACAAGTAACCAAGTGCAGCTTTAAGTGCACCAAATGAAATGCAACATAGCATGCTTTTCACAAAGTGATTGTAGGATTCGTTTAAATATATATCAGCCCCGGGTGGGGTGATGCACGGCTCAGGCGGTTTGGAAACCGTCTTCTTTCTGTCCTGTTCTATGTCTGAGAGGGGTAGTTTGGAGATAGAGGTAAAGGTCTATCCTTAAGTCCGGCTCTTAGGCATACGTGGCCCTGGCGGGTGGCCCCCTTGGACTGTGTCTGCTCTATCTCTGGTCCTCACAGCCAGCCGGGGATGTCTGTCTTAGTTTATCGTACAGAAATCGGCTCAGAGTGGGTGCCAGAGATGTGTTCCCAACATCCTGCAGGGAAAGATCGCAGATGGTTTTGGAGATGGATTCTATATACCGAACACACAGCCCTGGGGACTTGTGTCGAAAACTGAGTGGTTCACATCAGTCACCTACCTCATCTAATTCTCTGGCTGCCCCTCTGTGTGCCACCCAGTTTCCTTTAAGGCTGGGAAGGGTGGGCACAGAGCAGCAGCCACTTGGCCCCAGGTTCAGTGTGGGGGCCTTGCGTACATCGAGGGTTTTCACTACACCTCTAATAAGGGTGGCATTGAGGCAGGCGGCTGGGGCTTGTTTTTATCTACGAGAAAATTGAGGCTTGGACACAGGTAGTTACTTGCCCAACGCCACCTGGAAATATCTCACCTCTTATTATAGAAAATTTGAGAATTACAAAAGGTAGGAAGAAGGAAAAAAATCATTCAAAGACGATTACTGTTCATGTTTTGGGGTCTATGCTTATTGAAAAGGGGGTTTCTCAGGGCTCCTGGGTGGCTTGGTCGATTAAGTATCTGACTTTGGTTCAGCTCAGGTCATGATCTCACGGTTTGTGCGTTCAAGCCCCGTGTCGAGCTCTGTGCTGACAGCTCAGAGCCTGGAGCCTGCTTTGGATTCTGTGTGTCCCTCTCTCTCTGGCCCTCCCCTGCTCATGCTCTGTTTCAAAAAAATAAACATTAAAAAAACCTTCTGTTAAGAAACAGGGGTTTCCCAAAGGCCCTGTGATCACACTGCATGTGTGTGCACATACCTGTTTCATTAGGACAAAGTCCTAGAAACAGAAGCACCGATCCTGATAGACTTGTTCAGCTCTATCAGCTACATTTTTACCAAAACGAAGGTCTCCATATTGTCTCCAGTTCACCTCTGAATACTGGCATGGAGAGTTTTTTACCCCTTTCCTACTACAGTAAATGAAAAATGGTCTTATTGCCTCTGTAATCTACATTTCCACAGTCACTAGTGAGGCTAGACTTCCTTAGTTTCTTCATTTTGAAAAGCATCTCTCTCATTCATCTATTGGGCTCCTTAGGCTCTTTGAAATCCCAGGGGACGAGTGTCTTTTATTTCCAGGCTACCATCGTCACTGCCTGTCCTCTTCTTCAGCTCGCAGGGTTGGGGGCTACCTGAAAGGCTCGGGCAGCCCGCCCTTGGGAGCCTGCAGCCCTCCTCATACCTGGGAGGCTGGCAACAGACAGGCCTCCTCCAGCGGCATCTTTGCTGTCTACAGGGACATAAGAGGCTTGTCATCCATCCTCTGCTGGTTGGCCACCGCCCAGGAGACCACCAGGGCCTGACACACAATCACAGAGAAGCCAAGACACCCCCAAACCCTTTGAGGGGACTCAATAAGCAGAGAGAGAGGACAGGTTGAGCGGTCCCTGCCGGGGAAGGCTCAGGGAAGGAGAAAATGAAATTCAATGAAGATGTCTGAGGCTGCCCAGGTCGCGCCTGGAGACCCTTGACATGTTCCACGGAGCGAAAGGCCTTGAAAGTCCCAAGCAGATCGAGAAAGAGAACCATTGAGGTGCGGGAAATGAGCAAATAAAGTGTACAAATGCCTTAGGCAAAGCACGCAAAAGTCCTGCAGACAAAAACAGAGAGGCCGTGGGGCAGTTCTAGGAGGTACAGCGCACGCACTGCACTGCCCAGAGCCCTAAAGGGAGCTGGGGGGGGGGGGGTTAGAGTGAAAGAAACGCCAGAGGAAAATGTCTCGGCCTGAAGTTCTGCTGTGAAGGCTCCAAGCCCAAGAAAGGGAGAATGTCTTGCAGGATTCCAGAAAGAGCCAGTTGCACCCCAAGGCAGGAGAATCGGCGCCGTGCCCATTCCCAGGGGACCCCAGAGCAATGTCCAGGGACTCTGATGATCTGATCAAGGTGCATGATGGAAGTGTCGCTGCTGTGATGGAATTCCTCTGTTGGGGAATCAGAAAGGAAGTATCATAGAGCACGACAGACGCAGAGAGGCTCCCTTTTACCCGTGGAAGCCCCCCTCCCCTCCCCCATCGAGAAGGATCAGCTACAGAGGAGAGGAGCTCTCAAGATAGAGCAGAAGGGGAAACAGGAAATGGCAGTGGGCAGTGACCCTTGCAAAATACGTGACTGAATCTAGCCATGCCTGGGATTTTGTAGGATAATTGCTAAGTAAAGATTCTTGAAGCATTTGCCACTGGCGTAAGGGACACCGGTATTCATCTGGGAGTCAAAATAGAATCAATCTCAGCCGCCCCCGGACTTGAAGGAGGAAGGGGTGGAGTGCTGAGGTCGGACATCCTGAGATCACATCTGATTGTGGGGAGGGGGAGGACCTGCTCTGGCGCCTGCGCTGGGGGCGGAGGGAGTGGGAAGGGAACAGTCCCAAGGGGGGCGTGCTGTCACCGCTTACTTTTCCTACCTTCACGGGGGAGTATCGGTTTAATTCTGACTATCAGGAGCTGAAAGAGAAAAGACGCAGAGACCTTCTGCATTAATAGGTGGAGGTTGGGGGTGGAGAGAATGTGCAGGGACGCAAAATGAAGGAAGGAGGGAAGGAGAAAATAGCAGCAACAAAGTTGAGTCCAAGTAAACATAAAATGAGAAGAAGTGAAACCACGCGTGTCGACTTTCATCAAAGATGCGAATGGGCTGAACTTCCCTTCAGAGGGTTGTAAGACCGGGGTAAAAGTAAAAGTCTGGTGCAGTGCGATTTACAAGAAATGTCCCCAAAGATGAGAAATAAAGTTCGAAAGTGCATAGCAATTGAAACTGAAATTAAAAAAAAAATAACAAGAATGGCAAAAAGTATTGCATAAAGAATTCAAGGCAGGAAGCATTCACAGGAACAAAGAGGGTTTATTATGCAATGGTGCAGGATGCAGTCCACAAAGATTCAATAGTCAAAAACCTGAATGTGCCAGAATGAGAGCAGCTGTGATGTGCTATATTTTATGCAATGTGCTACTTTACTTTTTTTTATTAAAAAGTTTTTTTTAACATTTTACTTATTTTCGAGAGACAGGGAGAGACACAGCATGAGTGGTGGAGGGGCAGGGAAAGAGAGAGACACACACAGAATCTGAAGCAAGCTCAAGGCTCTGAGATGTCAGCACAGAGCCTGACACAGGGCTCGAACCCATGAGCCGTGATTTCATGACCTCAGCCGAAGTCGGACGCTCAATTGACTGAGCCACCCAGGTGCCCCGGTGATGTGCACACGGGCAAGTCCATGGAGCCCAGCTTTGGTCAAACACTGGTCCAGAAGTTGCTCTGAAGCTATGTTTTTAGATGAGAGTAACATGTGAATCAGTGAACTTTGAGTAAAGCACATTACTGTCTGCAGTGTGGGTGGGCCACATCTAATCAGTTGAAGTCCTTACGAGAGAAAGACTGAGGTCCCTCAATGAAGAAGGAATTCTGCCAGCAGACGGCCTTCAGATCTGAGCTACAGCATCAACTCTTCCCTTGGTCTCCAGTCTGCCACCTTGCCCCGCAGACTGGCTTTGCCAGCACCCGCAATCACATGAACCAATTGCTAAAAGAAATCTTTCTCTCTTTATAATCTGTGTGTATGTGTGTGTGTTGGATGAATGAATGAATGAATGAATGAGTCATCCTATGCTAGGAGCTTTTTCTTGCCTTCAGGACAGTGTCCAGACTCTTTAATGTGACATCTAAATATGCCTCCCACACTTTAGTCCAATTATCCCACCAGCAAGCAGCCTTCTGGTTTTTTCCACCTGCTCTCGAAATCCGCATTGGTGCTCTTGCCCAATAGCCTACTGGTCCAGAAGTTGCTCCAAAGATCTTTTTAGATGAGAGTAACATGTGAATCAGTGAACTTTGAGTAAAGCACATTACTCTCTGCCGTGTGGGTGGGCCACATTTAATCAGTTGAAGTCCTTATGAGAGAAGGACTGAGGTCCCTCAATGAAGAAGGAAATCTGCCAGCCTACTGCCCACTGCTTTTTAAGCCCCTTCGGTGTACTCAACAGACATTTAGTGACTTCCTACCAATTCCAAGCACTGGGCTGCAGGCCAAACCTACAAAGAAAAGTGAAAAAGGAAGTTGGTGAG